AATTAATAGCATGGCATTATAGCTCCCTTTTATTGTGCTAAGACAGTACATTTTTCTTTAATATGTACTTGTAATTGTTCTGATATCGTCTTGGTCCATCTTTCCTTATGCCCATTTTTGATTATCGGATATGATAGATCAGATTTTTAGGTATTGCAGTTCTTTGGTGAATAGGGTAAATAAATCAAGCTCGGTTCAAGGAACGGCCGATTACGACTACGGAAATTTAGTTGACGGTCAATGCGCTGATAAGAGTATTGATAACGAGTGCACGTGTAGCGCGCGAATGTCAAGCGATCGCACGCTATATGGGACGATCTATCGACAGCTCGTCAATGCTCTTCCGGGTGATCCATTTAATTCTGGGACGTGTGACATCACTGTCGGTACAAATGACGGCCCGTTTCGAAGCTTCGTAAATGTGAAGCTGCACTTCGCGACGATTGCCATCGTTCAAACGGGAGAGAAAAACGTGGAGGTGCATGTACACGTGGTCAAGAAGAACTAATTCGCCATTGAAGTCGCCCACAACTTTTCATTTGAATCCCTGTCATGTACAAACCTTTTTTTCACGTCACTACAAGAAAAAATAATACACGCTGCACATATGGTTGTCCCTGAAACTAAATTTCATTTAAGAAATATAAACCCTGACATTTTCTTGCATTCTTATAACATTTACTGCCATCGGATTCAAACAAATCCATGATAATGAAATGTGAAGGTAACAGTACTACCGGAAATTCCTTTATATACTTAATATTTATATAATTAAAAACATGGCGAAGACGTGTATGTATAAAAAGAAAAGGGAAATAGTCAGGGTTAAATGGATCCAAAGAAGGCATGAGGGTTAAAGTAACTTAAATTAAACGGATTAAAATTCCAGGGACGATTAATGTGGATCCATCTGATACAGTAATTAAGAAACCGTTTCTGATATATTTTGGGTGTAATTATTTTACTTGTACAAATAATTTTACGTAGGGATTTTGGAAAAGTCTCAGGCCTCCTTTATTTAGAAAATTGCGGAGAAATTTGATGACGCATGTGGAAAGGGTTGTGTGGGTGGAACGCCGGTTTAATTAGAAGACACCCGATTAATCGGTATGTCATAATTGGATCAGCATTTCGCTCGACGCATTGCGAGATCCAGCTTCTGAAACTGACCACGAGCTTGGGTTTAATTAATGCTTTTCTGCATACCGAGCGCATCTCTCCTTGTCTGGCTTTCCGATGTGTTTCCGTATTTCGACAGTGAGAAATCCGCGCGTCCCAATTTTCCCGTTTAATCTACGAGGCTTTGCGGGGGTTCCTGGAGTCGCCTGGTATGCGTTATCTGCTAAGATGATAAAAGACGCTTTCAAGCGACGTCGGAATCCGAGGAGTGCGGCAGAAATTCCCCTCTAATTAAGAAACCGCCGTTTACACGTCATTGCTGATATCGAGAGTTCTAAAATGCAGATAAATATAAACGGGGGCGTATATGATTAATTAAAACACCGGGAGACCCTGTTTAAGGGTTGCTCCCTATCTGCAAGGTTATCAGAGGCAAATCCCTCTGCAAGGGACACACCAGGATCGTCGTTCGAGGATGCAATTACCGCGTAAATCCACAAAGAGTCATTTTTCAGCCTCCTAAGCCCTTGGACCAATCGGAGACAATGCCGCAGGCTGATCACGAGCGGAAACCTTTCTCCTCGATCGGTCTTAATCTTCACTTCGTATCTTCCAAAGCGCTTATCGCTAGTGATCGGAAACGAAAGTACGGAAAATTAAAAATCAGCCTGTCGTGGAGGTAATGAGTTATCGTATGAGAAGAACGGGATGAAAATGCAATTTTTTTATTGCCCAATGCCCGGGAAATCCACTTTCCATTTCGGAGTGAGCTTTGAGGAAGTAAAAGATTATGAAAAAATATGAATTTCTCGTAATAATATTCTTTCAAGGTATTATCGGAAGATCGTACAGTTTAGGAATTTTGAAGTGGTCAACAGTCCACAGAATATTGTGCTGGCACAACACAAAGAATAAATTCATACACTTTACTCAGGTCTGAATAAAACTTCCAACAAACATGTTATAAAATAATATTTTTTTTAACAGTGTAGTATACTGAGAAATAAAAAATTCAAATGATGTTATACCAGCTTCACTGACGTGCACTATGTAGAATTTCAACCGAGATCGATAACTTCGACTCGGGTCGCCAGGAGCCGAAGAAGAAGCCACCTTTCCGCCATTTTGCGGGCGCTTCTTCCACAGAGAATACAAGGTGCTTTTCCTGCAGCTAATAAAGAGCACCTTTTTACGAGGCACGCGGAACGTTTCGCATAACCCCCTGCGACATAAATCAGCCCTGGCTAGCCAGCCACCCTGGTTGTTCCTGTCCTACATGCAACGCAACCAACCCTTTTCTCCTCCTCTTCCTCTTCTTCTTCCTCCGCAGAGGCGAAAGTTCTTCGCCGGATGTTCGCCGTCGGATCCCCGACGAAACGCGACCGGCTCTATCCCTCTCTGAATATTTCAGGGGAAATGTCGAAAAAGGAGGATTCAGAGCCGGTCGACGGGGTCGAGAGCGAAGCGCAACGGATGTTGGCCGGAAAATCAATTCGCCCAGGTCGCGGTATGTGGGAGCGTTACCGGCAGGTGCAGCTGCAGCTGCATCCCCGGGGATGCGTCATGCCCTTGCAACAGGGCCGTGCATTACGCAGGGAGAACAAACGTCTCTGATTCAGGAGGATCGAAAGCTCCCATTTTTATTCCCACCTCGCGCGCCGATATCCTGGATCCAGAAAAGCTGTAAAAAAAGAAAAAATATATATATATCGGGAGATTCCGGCGATTGAATCGGTAGCAATGGAAATTAGTTATTGATGATAGATCTGGGATTTAATTGGGAATAAGTTGGTTGGAAGACGGCATTTAGGGAGGTGCTTTTAAGAAGTCGTAACGAGAGAATTTGCGGAGGCGAAATTTCTGGGCAAAATAATGCTGAAAAGGTGCAAATTGTCAATTCCATTTGTTGGGAGTAAGTTGGTTAGAAGACGGTATTTAGGGAGGTGCTTTTAAGAAGTCGTAACGAGAGAATTTGCGGAGGCGAAATTTCTGGGCAAAATAATGCTGAAAAGGTGCAAATTGTCAATTCCATTTGTTGGCCGGTATGTGTGCAGTGGCCGAGCCCCGAGGTCTCGTTTAATTGAACTTTCCGACCGGCGTATGTTTGAATTCAAACTGCGGTTTAAATTTCAATGGTAATAATGGCATTAAAACAGCCGGGTATAATGTGCTTCACAAAGTTGTAATTAAAACGCCGGAGAAAAGTAAAATGTACCCCATTCGTAAAGGGAACCGCGTTCGTTAGATATGTGGTTTGCGCGGCAACAGAACTCGCGGGTAATTGCGTTACTTTCCTATCTCCCCTGGGAGCTGGACGCGTGTAGGGAGATCTTTTTGCCGCCAATTTGCTGCAAATTAGGGAAAAGACGATAAAGCGTATCAGAACTGATTTTAATACTAGAGCCACCGGGGGATTCTTTTTGACTGTGGTAGGTCATCTCAAATCAGTCATTTTCACTAGACTTGGTAGTTCTAGTGTTAACAAAAACACATATATATTTTCCTTTACGCACATTGTCTAAATTTGGTCTCAAAATTGAATCATTAAAGAAATGTTTAAAAATCATTTTTCTCCAGTACCATGTTAACCCTAATTAAAGTGATTTAAAAAATATGGGAGTTGTATAGAAAAAGAATGTAATAATTATACGAATTTAAGGGCTATAAGTTTGAAGTAGATACGTTAATTAGACTCAGTTGAACTTTTTGGAAAAAAAGATAGAAGAGTTCTCATCTCGTTCTCTCGTTTTCAAAAGGATGCTGCCTCGGGATCTTTCGTCGAAACGCGCAATCCTCTTTCACGTAACAAACAATCCCAAGATTATCCCAGGGTCTCCTTTTCCCCCTCTTTCCCCGTCCCTTTTCCTCGAGAAGGATCTTTCGCCATTCGCGAATGGACCAATAGCTCCGGAGAAATCTCGTCACGACGGAAGTTGCATCGCGGGTTTTCCGCTGCGGTTCCTCCCGAGGCGGAAAATGAGGGGATCGCTCTGCTAAGGGTTTCGTTTTTCTCTCTCTCTTTTTTTTTTCTACTTCTCTCCTACTTGGAGAAATAAAGCACTCTCGCATTATCGGTTCGGTTTCCTTTCGCTCCCTCGTCCGTCAGGACGTTTCGTCGAGTCTCCTCGTTCGCGGAAAAGCGAAAGAACGGAAAATTCCGAGCTCGATCTAGGCTGATGGGGCTATCATAGCGAGGTTTTCTGTTCTTTGGTTTGATTTCATCCCCCGGGGGGAGACTACAGTCTGCGATATTAAAACTCTTCACTTTTCCTCTCCTCTCGCGTCCCTAGTGACTCGATCTCGTTTCCGAAACAAAGGGAAAAATGAGGACCATTAAAATCTGAGGATATCGTATCAATCCATAAAAATCCACCTTGATCAAGGTTTAGCGTATCGTGTAATATATGACACGCTATTTTTATTTGGTTCCATTTCCGCGTCCAACGCGAAACGAAAAGAACACGATGAATGTAGTACTTGGGGAGTATCGAAGAGAAAAAGAGATGGAAAATTTCTAGCCAAAATGGCGGTGGTCAGCTGTTTTTTTCGCTCGCTCCCTAAAATAATGTGGGCCTGCAGCATTTCGAGGGCCGATTGTTTGCAAAAGAAGGAGAACCCCGAGTTCGCCGTTAACGCGATTCCTCTAGTTTTCGCTCTCGTTTTTGTCGACGAGAGCTTTCGAGGAATCGCAGACATTTCCCCCCGACTAACTCCGTCGAGGTTCGAGTATCGACCGGAAACCAACTCCAGCTTTTCCCTTTCCTCGTTCCGCCGTCGACAAGTTGCGGCCGAATTCGACGTCTTCCTTCTCGTCGGAAACGAAAATCGAAACCAATCGATCGGCGAGTTTCGAGAAATGACGTATTCCACGTGATTTCCAGAACTCTTCAGAAGCGCCGCGGAGGCTGGCCCTCTGGACATCGTGAAGCTTCGAAAGGGTGAAAAGCTCCTGAACATTTCGCCCAACCTTCCACCGAACACTCCTGAAACGCCGTACACCCTGCAGGTGAGAAAATGAATTATTTAAATAAACGAGGAATATCATTAAGGAGGTTTTTGCTCGCTCCGAATTTCCGGGGGACGTTTAAAATGTACGTATTTCCCTGCAGATATTTTTTCCACGTAGCCTTTTCAGGTACATTCATTGCATTAATTCAACTCCTTCGCAGTTTCCAGGCTCGAAAATGAACGCGAGGAAGTGAGAAAATTCCTCGAATTTTGGAATTAGTTTCTTGATTTCCCCAAAAGCTCGCGGAAAATTTTAAAACATTCAATTGACCTGACACAATAAAATGATATGCATCTTTAAATGACTAATTGATATGATGCTAGATAGTGATGTAGACTGTGAGATGATTAATTGACGTGATTAATTAAGTAATTTTGAAATAATTAATTGCAGGTTGTCGGCGTCCACCCTGTGACTTCGGGGATGATCGAGGCAGATTTATTACGCGCCCTGGAAAGGCGCGTAGCAGCCCTGGAGCGAGAACTTCGCCAACACCAGGAAGCAGCTTCGACGGCACCTTCTCTGGCACTTCGGGAGCTGAAACGACAGGTCGACATCTTCAAGAACAAGTTGGAAACTACCGAGCATCTCAGCTGGCTGGGTAAGCTTCCATCGGATTCCTTCCGATGATTTCAATTTCCCCCAGGGTAGAATCTTCATCACCGAAAAGATTATCTTATGCATTATTTTTCCATGAAAGCATTTATTGCGGTTCGTCTTTACCATTTTATATTCCCTAAAATTAATCCTTCGTAGCCATGCAAGGATCTTATTTTGTCCTGTCTCCAACAGATTTATTTATTCACCGAAAATGCTTCCCTATGCAAATGCCGCTCTGTAACTTGCAGAGGTAGAAAAAGAAACAAGAATGCTCGTGAAATCTGCGAGTGACATATTATTTTATGCATTATTTTTCCATGAAAGCATTTATTGCGGTTCGTCTTTAACATTTTATATTCCCTAAAATTAATCCTTCGTAGCCTTGCAAGGATCTTATTTTGTCCTGTCTTCAACAGATCTATTTATCCACTGTAAATGCTTCCCTATGCAAATGCCGTTCTGTAACTTGCAGAGGTAGAAAAAGAAACAAGAATGCTCGTGAAATCTGCGAGTGACATATTATTCGGAGACCCTGGATACTCCTTGCAAGTTAACAAACCTAGAGACCTTTTTAAAGAATTTCATTTCCGTTTCCTTATATTTTCTTCTCTTGAAGAAGTCCTTGAGTTCTGTCTTGCCGACATCGAAAGACTACCTTCTGTTCTAGACTATAAAATTATGAAAAAGTTTGATACAAACCGTTGACGATGAACAATCCGAGAAGCTCTGAATACTTCTTGCAAATTAAGAAACCTAGAGGCTTTCTTCAAGAATTTAATTTCCATTTCTTTACAATTTTTTTTCCAAATAGTCCTTGAGTTCTGTCTTGCGCAAGTCGAGGGATTACCCTCTGTTCTACATTCCAAAATCGTGAACGTGTTTAATACAAACTATTGTCAATGGAAGATCCAGAAAGCTCTGAATGCTTCTTAAGTTTACAAAGCAAGAGAGTTTTTAATGAATGTAATTTCCATTTCTTTAATATGTTTTTTTTTTCGAACATCCTTTAATTCTATCTCCTTGACGGACAACTCTCTGTTCTGGACTACAAATTCGTGAAGATGTTTAATACGAACTATTGTCAGTAAAAACTCTGGGAAGGCAATGGGAAACCAGCAGAAATTTTATGAAATTTCGTATTTGAGGGTCGCTAGAGGACATTTAAATATTTTCCTCCCCTGTGGTGGTATGGAAGGGGTCTCGAAGTTCTTCGATAAAAAGAGAAGTAATCCCGGGTCCAGGGTAAATATTCTCGTATTTCCGTCGGTTCTATAAATCGGGAAAGTTCGGCGAACCCTGGGCCGGTTTCGAAAAGATCGAACTTGCACCGAGTCCGGAGTGGAGGCGTTTCGAAAATGCTGGAGGGGCGGAGGAGAGCTTTTTCAATTACCCCAGGAAGATCTGACGGGACCGACGGATATACTGGCGAATAAACAGCGGCGTGCCGCTGTATAAATATTTGCAAAAACGCTATTCCTATCTCGGGGCTGCGGCCAGCGGTCGATCTCGCCCTCGGACTTCCTCTCGAAGGAAAAATCGACGCTTTCCACCTTCCCCTTCCTCCACTTCTGGCACCCTCCTCTTGAAGACATTTCCAGGGCGGAAAAGCTCAATGAACTTCAGGTCCATCGGAAAGCCTCGGCATTGGACCCTGAAAGCGAAATTCGCACGAGAACCTCCACTATCTGAATATACATAATTTTCCGGAAATTTATGAATAATTAGTAACTGCGAATTTCGCTATTGCGATAATATTACGTCCCTAAAGTAATGTGCTCGATTATTTAGCGTGGTGTTAATTAATTATCCCACGGACTAGTTCTACCATAGATCTTTGTTAGTTCTGAAAGCACGACATGGTCAACATGATCAATCAGCGGTGCGAACAGTGCACCGGTAACTTGGTGTAACATAATTATGTAGAGTTAATTTTCTCAACCTAAAAAATTGTAATTTTTGGAATTTTTCTGCAGGGAGATTGACAAGTGCTCGACTTGCTCCGATTGATCTCGAATCTTTGGTGCACCGATGCCTCTAATTTCTGTTATATCTTATATCCTCGTTTATTAATGCGTTATTAGCAAGAAATCAGAAAGAAATTTTTATTTCACTTCCAGGATTCTACAAACAGCTTCCGGAGCCGATTTCGTCCGAGGCCTGTCGAAGACTGCAGTATCGCCGGAAAAGCGACAGCGTGAAGCGCAAAGTACGCGAGAAGTTCCTTAACATCTGGTAAGTCGAAAAAGAAAAATCCCATTTCTCGGGGAAATTTGGGAGCGAGAAGATTACGCCTTCCTGATCTTCCGCGTTTTTCCATTGGAATTTCTCCTGGCGAGAAAGTTCGGAGACTAGATGGGGAAATGGAGGGCGGCGTGGGGGTGGAAATGCCTTTTCGATAATGTCGCAGCACGTAGACCCCCCAGGGGCGAAATGCTTGGGGTGGATGACACCTAATTTGCGGGAAAATCGCCCCTGGGGAAACCCGCTGGTCGGGCGTGAAAAATCATGGTATTCCGAGGAAATCTTCAGGCTTCTCCGTCGCACGAGGCGCCGCCATTATGGTGCCGCCTCCGTACAAAACACAGAACATCCCGCAAGTAATCCCCTCATCAGTCTGTCGGCCATTAAAAGTTTCCCTGAGATCAATTAATGTTTCATCGCGAGTCTTCGACCCGTCGCGAATTAAGATTTCATTCAGACTTCGCGCGCGAAACTTGGAAATCGCGAGGGAACGCCGATAATCGCCGGTAAGCGGATGTTTATTCTGATAAAGGGTAACATAAATTCACTCACAGAAAGAATTGCAAATTGCTGAAAGGCGGAGAGATGTTAAATGTAGTGCTTTCGTGAAAGGCTCTGCTGAATATCTGGGGGATTTTCCTACTCCCTTCCGCCAGGAAAAGGTGGACAAATGGCCACTTCGAAGTCCTTCTTGTGTCACCCTCTCGGCGTTGTGTAGGACGCCTAAAGGCGCAAAGGGGATTACTCTTCCCAGTAAATTGCACGGTTATCGGTTCTTCTCTTTGGGAAGCTTTCGAGGGAGGACCGAAAATTGACTTTTCTGGGGACGCGATTGACTTTGGTCGACAGCGAATCATTCGCCGTTACAAGCCCCTAATTTCGACAAAGGAACCGGTAAAATCCCATTGAACGTTTTATCTAATTTCTTAATATTGAGAAAAAGGGGAATCATCGAAGTGCGATTACCAAATTCCATTCGTATATTCGTGATGACTATTTGCAGGAATTTTTCGGATTAATTAGAAGCCCTGATACCTAATAACTTAATGTTGGCAGAAAACGTGTCAAATCTGTTTGAACCTTCTACCCGACTTTTGAATACTGACGAAAGGCGAATCAACGTCATAAAATGATGGAATTTCATAGGTATCAGTATTCGCGATGATATTTTTAAAGGAATTTTACGTTTTAAGTAGAAATTCTGATATGTAACGATATCATTTTACTAAAAAGCGTACAATCCCTTTGATCGTCAAAATGACCTAATTACACGTGATATATTCGGGATGACCTTTTCGTGGGAGTTCTTCAATTTAATTAAAAGATTTAATATTGGACATTTTTGTCCTTAATTTATCGACGTGGAGGGCTTTCGCGGTTGTGGATGGAGCCTAAAACGTCTGCCGGTGGATTAAATCGCAGCCGTAAAATTGGCAAGACGTCGACGACCTTAAAGGCGAAATTCCCTTGCTCCCTGGAAAAAGACGAATGCATGGGACGGTAAAGGTGATGCGAGAGAGAAGGGGGCATGATCCTGTAAATCCCGCGGGATCCGTGGGCGTGATCTCTTTCGTCTGGGAGGAAAAAACCGGGATAGACGGTCCGGAGGAGAGAACCGATTTTCGTGTCCAGTCTGCGCGGCATGTCGCCTTTTTTCCCTATTTTTTGCTACCCTTTTTTTGGAAACGCAGTAAATAACGTCCGATTCCCATGAATTATTTAGAATGCACGCATCTCAGCAAAGGTCCTACAATGCGCCAAAAGGACTCTTTAAATTTGAAAAAACTTCAATGCCAGGAGTTCGCCTAAAAAATGCTCACATTTTGCGACACTTAAAATTGTTTGCGGCTAGTCTGTAATTTTTGAACTTTTCCGAAATGTCCCGCAATCTGGCTGGGAAATCTTCCCGGGAAATGCGCTCGTTTCTCGCTCCGTGCGATAGTGAGGACCAGTTATTTCGGATTTTTTAAACCCGACCGCAGGGTAGATTCTGCTCGCATAATTTATTCTTTCTGAGAATGAATTTCTTAATTGATGGCTCATATCCGTGCCATGATTTTTTCAACGAAGAATGATATTGCGGGAAAATGAGGAAAATAGAATTCCGTCACACTCGATACGAAGGCCTCGCTGGCGTTGAATTTTTCAAGCTTTTCACGCGACACGTCGCGGTTCGCGTGTCCACGATTGAACACGTTCCCGCAAAATTAATATTCCACCACGTCCTTCCGGATTCGAAGTTGGTTTTGCCCTCGCGAGTGTTCGATTAAAAATCGATCTGTCGGCAGATTGACCCGCTTCCGGCCAATAAGCGCTCGGCCGAACTACATCGATTACGAATTGACCTAAACGTGAATTTTCGGAAAAGCGAGGGAGCTTAATGTATAGAATCGTGTAACGATTGTTCCGTGCTGCAGAGGGAAAGTTAAACATTCATAGACAGAGAATGAGCGAGAAATAAACTGGAAATTGGCGTGCTCAAATTCGAACCAACAAATTCATTCCAAAGCCAATTCCTAAAGTAATCGAAACATGTCGTGTCAAATACTTTACTAAAAACAATCCTCAACAAATGTATAGGTAATCAATTTGTAAAAACACTTTCTGGTGCAACAAATTGTTCGCTTCGTGAAATTAATAGTATTTCTCTATGCGAAATTTATAATTCAGACCGCGATTGCTGAATTGGAGCTAATTTGGGTACCCCATTTCCCTTAATGATTTGGTTTCCCTGGTTTTCGTATTAATCTATAATTTTTACCGAAAAGTCGATAGGCCAATCAGCCTGGCTCGGGCTAATAAGGGTGCGGAGCCGTTTTATTAATCGCGAGCGAAGGGAAACGCGGATTTCCAACGCGAGAAGTTAATGAACACCCCGTTGTAACACCCTGCATTCAGAAGAGAGAAAGAGGAAATTGCTGAAAGAGGGACAGAGAAGGAGCACGAGTGCGACGAGCAAAGAGAGGGGCAAAATGGGCGAGGAACCGAGCGAGGTGAAAATTATTTATTCATTTAATTACTGCAGGTGCAGCCGGGTCGCAACTGCACTTGCAAATTGGGTTTAAACCAGGGAGGTGTTCTCGCTCGAACGGATCCTCCTCCGCCACCTTCTCCTTCGTTTACCTTCAGATCCAAATCCAGGTGCAACCCCGAATGCAGATGGAAAATCAGTGATACGTGCATCACATTTGCAGGGATACCTTTAATAACTTTTAAAAGTGGCACTATTTTACATGAAGATATAAAAATAGAAATGCAATTCCGTGTCCTTCTCCTTCATGTTTACCTGTAGATTCAGTTCTGGATATAAATGGAAAATCAATGATACTCGTATCTCACAAGGATATCTTTAATAATTTGCAAAATGTACGATTTTATATGCGGATGTGGAAACGGAAATGTAGCTTCATGTCCTTCCCCTTTGTCCACCTTCGTGTCCAGATATAGATTCGATTCTGAACATAAATGGAAAATAAATAATACGCGTATCTTACAAGGATACTATTTAATGATTAAAAAAAACCGCTAGTTTTAGATATCGGTGTGAAAATAAAGAAATGCAACTTGACGTCCTTCTCTTTCGTTTACTGTTTAAGCCTAAATACAGTAATAATACTTGCCGTTGAAATTAGTGATACATAGATCTTACTGGATAATAGGTGGATAATACATATAATTTCACATCCGAGAGGAGGTTTACGTAGAAAATTCCTTCTTATTTTCTGCCTAGGGAAGCAGAAATAACATGTTACGTTTTGTTCTTACATTTGGGCGTAACATTTTTTTATGAAAACTGTCCAATTCATGGCACTTTGGAACTTGGTCAAGTCTTGAACGCCCGATAGAAATTTATCGAACGAAGGGAGCAGCAGTCGATTCCAGTTTCCAACGGGAGGAGTCGTTCTCTCGGGTTGAAAATTCAATTATCAGGAATTTCCGAGTCCTTCGTCGGAAGTTTCGAGTTCACCGGGTCTCGGTGGAGGCTGAAAGAATTTTCACTCCATTTCTTTCCCGGGTCCCTCCCCGCGGTCCATCGTTTCCCCTTGATTTCTCCCGGCTTTTACCTTCCACTTCCTTCCTCCTAATAATCTCGTTAACTTTTCGTCACCCTTGGGGTGCTTCGACGAGGTGGTCGGACCTTTCCCCCAGTGAAATTAAATACTCGCCATCAGCCGACTCGTTCGTTTTCCAGGGGATAATCCGAAAGTAACATCCCGAGAAGTGGCGTTGAATAATTAATCTCCTAAGAGGCTCTTCTCTCCATCTCGACGTTGATTCCACGTCGGTTCGCAAAATCGAGATCTTTCGATGCGATTCTTTCGCGGGAACCCCGAGAGAATCCATTTTCTATCTACTAGGTGAATTGCTGCATTTTGTCCTTCGGAATTTATTCCTTCGTCCAGTTCTAAAGACTTCTTAAGCGATTTTTCCGGGGGACTGATTTTTCTGAATGGCGCCTGAAAAGAATTGACTCTTTTTTTTTAACTTCTTTATCAATAAATTCCTGCCGGCCGTTGATGGTTATGAGTCGAACTCTTACAAGAATGCTGGAAGAGGAAGAAGCATTCGGAAAATGGAGAACAAGCGCGAAAGACGTCGGAGAGTTTGCACCTAGAATGTGGAATAATGGAAGCGAGGATGAAAGGGAAGGATGGCGATGTCTCATGCTCGGGAGAAAACCGAGATAAACGGAAGAATCCCTTCGCGGGAAAGAAAATCCACTCCACTGAGCTTCGAACTTAATTTGCAATTGCATTCGCAGCGATTCGCCTCTCGGGAATGTAGAAACGTTTTCCTCACATTAGATAACTTCTGAGATGATCCTCTTAGCGAACACACCTGAACCAATTCTTTTTTTCATTTTTCTCATCTCTAAGGTGATACCGGAATCAAATTTTAATTCTGCAAACGTTGTCGAAATTGCGAAATTAGCATAAAGTCTTGTTAACGATTCGACATTGCAACTTCTATTCCGTTTCTACATTAGGTCA